TAAAAATACAAAAAATTAGCCGGGCGTGGTGGCATGTGCCTGTAATCCCAGTTACTCAGGAGGCTGAGGCAGGAGAATCCCTTGAACCCAGGAGGTGGAGGTTGTAATGAGTCGAGATGGTGCCTCTGTACTCCAGCCTGGGTGACAGAATGAGATCCTGTCTCTTTCAGCTTGGGTGACAGAGTAGGACTCTGACTCCACAAACAAAGAGACAGGGTCTCGTTCTGTCACCCAGGCTGGAGAACAGTGGGTGATCCTGGCTCACTGCAGGCAGTCTTTCCACCTTAGCTAGGACTACAGGCCCATGCCACCGTGCCAGCTAATTTTCTTTACTTATTTGTATTTTTTCATTTATTTGTAGACACAGGTTCTTGCTATGTAGCCCAGGCTGGTCTCAAACTCCTGGCCTCAGGTGATTCTTCTGCCCTGAGCTCCCAAAGTGCTGGGATTACAGGTGTGAGCTACCACACCCAGACCCTGACATGTACTGTTGTGAAAACTGCTAAGCAAAGAACAGTTATAGGAGGCTATCATGTGTATAAAAAGAGAGGGGATATGAATGCATACTTATAAGTTTGCTTGTGTACACATGAAGAAACTCCTGGATACACAGGAAACTGATTAGCAGAGATTATGGTGGGGGAGTGGTTGGTAGAGAACTTGGAAGATAAGGAGGGCTTCTTATACTTTATTTTTAAACCATGTGAATGTGTTACCTATTTAAAGTGTTAAATGAATTGAATTTAACCCCATGGGAAGAGTTAACCCAGTAACTACAATTTCCATCAAAGGGTGAAAGTCTAATAGTCATTCACTCATTCAATAACCTATAGCAGGCCAGGCACAGTGGCTTACGCCTGTAATCCCTGCACTTTGGGAGGCCAAGGCAGGTGGATCACCTGAGGTCAGGAGTTCGAGACCAGCCTGGTCAGCATGATGAAACCCCGTGTCTACCAAAAATACAAAAAATTAGCTGGGCGTGATGGCACGTGCCTGTGATCCCAGCTACTCAGGAGACTGAGGCGGGAGAATCGCGGGAGAACTGCAGCCTGGGCAACAAGAGCAAAACTCCATCTCAAAAAATAAAAATAAAAATAAAATAATCTACAGCAATCAGGAAACATCTCTAGCAATGATACCTAACAAGTGCTCAGCACTTTAAATGTGCCAGGCATTGTGCTAAGTGTTTTCATTTACATTATTTCATTTAACCCTCACCAGTCCCATAGAGTTCAGGTGTCTAATATCACAGAATAGACAGAAGTTCACAGAAGGATGAGAGAGGTTGTTCTTTTTTTTTTTTTTTGAGACGGAGTCTCGCTGTGTCACCCAGGCTTAAGTGTAGAGGTGCTGGCCGGGCGCGGTGGCTCAAGCCTGTAATCCCAGCACTTTGGGAGGCCGAGACGGGCGGATCACGGGGTCAGGAGATCGAGACCATCCTGGCCAACACGGTGAAACCCCGTCTCTACTAAAAAAAATACAAAAAATTAGCCAGGTGTGGTGGCAGGCGCCTGTAGTCCCAGCTACTCTGAAGGCTGAGCCAGGAGAATGGCATGAACCTGGGAGGCGGAGCTTGCAGTGAGCCGAGATCGCACCACTGCACTCCAGCCTGGGCGACAGAACGAAACTCCTTCTCAAAAGAAAAAGAAAAAGAAAAAAAATGTAGTGGTGCTATCTCAGCTCACCGCAACCTCCGCCTCCCAGGTTCACGCCATTCTCCTGCCTCAGCCTCCTGCGTAGCTGGGACTACAGGCACCCATTACCACGCCTGGCTAATTCTTTGTATTTTTAGTAGAGACGGGGTTTCATCGTGTTAGCCAGGATGGTCTTGATCTCCTGAACTTGTGATTCGCCCGCCTCGACCTCCCAAAGTGCTGGGATTAGAGGTGTGAGCCACCATGCCTGGCTGAGAGGTTGTTCTTTCCCAAAGTTCTCTGCAAACATTCAGGCGCCACCATCCTGGGCCAGGCCTGAGGATGGCCACTGCACTAGGGATACCAAGAGAAAGACAGCACCCTGCCCTCTAGGACCTAATGGTCTAGTGAGGGAGACTGGCGTGTAAAATAGCAGACTCATAGACAGGTTTCGAATAGAGAAGGGAGTATTAGAGCGTAGTGCTTGAGGATTAGGGGACAAAGGGAACAGAGAGACTGGGGACAACAAGCAAACCTCTCTCTCCCACGACACCCTTTGGCCAAGGACAGGCCTCACAAGCAGCTGTGGAACTTGGAGGCGCCATGTGGGAGACAAACCCTGCAGCCTCAAGGCCAACAATGAACAAAGGCTGCTGGGCTCTCTGGCAGGAGAGGAGATCTGACAACGGCCTGGCCTGCCGTTCGATCAGTGTAGACATTCCTTCTGGACTTTGAAGCCTGAAGAGCTCTCCTTTAGCTGTCTACACAGATCAAATAAGCTGGATGACTGCCATATCTCCACTTCGTTGTGTGGCTCCATAGTCACAGCCAGCTCCATAACAATCCAACCAAACCATCTGAGCAGAGGCAAAAATAATTCTCATGGATAAAGATAGACAGTTCCAAGATGTGAACATTAACTCCTTGCTGCCACTTCAGAAGAGAGTGGATCTTGAAGTTCGTTTTAGGAAGCTTTAGAGAAGGGCGATTCTGCCCCTCTCCAAAGTGAAGTGGCAAAGCTGTTGTCTCTCCTTACAGCTGAAAGCCCTTCCTAGTCCAAGGCTTATATAGGATACCCACAAAAGCTGACAATGAGCTGTGATCTGGCTCTCGGAAAGGCAGCCCCACCCTAAAGGACAGGGATCAGGTCGGGTGCGGTGGCTCATGCCTGTAATCCCAGCACTTTGGGAGGCTGAGACAAGAGGATCTCTTGATCCCAGAAGTTCGAGGTCAACCTGGGCAACATAGTGAGACCCTGTCTCAATTTTTTAAAGTAAAATAATAATAATAATAATAAAAGGACAGGAATCATCTCACCTCAAAAGCACCTTTTTATTCACAGGCTCATTCTAGGGGAAACTTTAACCCAGCCCTCTCAGTCCTCAAGCAGCTGTGAGGAGCTCGGGACATTGTCACAGACTGGCCGAACCAGGCATCTCCCAACAAACCCAGAAGCCAAGTGGCATTGCTAAAAAAGATTAAAAATCGACATGAGTTCTAACATCTACGTTCCTTGCTATGGTTTCCATGGAAATAGACATCTGCTCTAGGGAGAAAGAAAAGGTGGGGGGAAGCAGTGTAAGTGCTTTAAAATAATCAGTGTTTTGAAAGATTTATTTCCTTTTTCTGTCACAACATTAATAGTTAGGAATGTGAGATTTTTGTGTGGCAATTTATTGTACTTAAAAAAATGCATTAAATGAGTGGGACTTTCCTCCGTGAACCTCCAGATCAAATACAAAGACTTCAAGATAAAAAGCCTGTTCAGTGGGTAAGGACCTCTTGGGCTTGGTTGGGTTCCTTGCTCATTTGTGTTGCCTGCCTATCTGTCGCTTTCCTAAGGGGTCTCATCCCCATCCCTCTCCAACTTTTCTAATGATTTCTGAGACTCTGTTCAGAAAAATGACAGATGGAAGCACCTAGCCATTTTGAAGCCAAATTTGGTCTGAGAAGCCTTTCAATGCTCAGAATCTGAATTATTCCTGGTCCTGCTCACAGGCTAAGTGAAAACCACTTAGATTGGCTTCGGGGGGAGGCCGACCCCACACAAGGGCGGTTGTTGGAAAAAGTGCCGCAACAAGCATATTTCAGGCAACAGCGCATTGCTAGTTGTTTGCTTTGTGTAGTGTGCTGCTGCTTGTATGATCCACTTTTTATTGTCTCGGGCACCTCTTAGTTGTATTTTATCTCTGGCACATGCCTAGTGGCTAACTAGGCATGAGAGTCTTTCTAAATTAGAACTGCTGTTTCAGGAAGGTTGGTCACATTTATTTCTTGATTTGGGGAGATGCAGCCCATTAATAAAATAAAGATACCTCTTCTGTTTAGTCAAGATCTCAAAGCAAGTGCCTTGGTGTATTGACCACCAACGGAGGACACAGTCTTGGTCAGAGAATGGGAGGAGGCGGGGACCATGTACATTTCATTTATTTTTTTCCCTCTTCTTGTGGGAGAAAGGGCCAGTTATTCTAAGCCTCGGTCAGACCAATTTCTTTTGTGCCTCTGCTGAGGTTCTGAGCTATCCAGGTCAGGGGGAACAGCGACCTTGTGGTTCCTTTTTTGATTTTTAAAAGGAACCCAGTGCTGCTCTGGGGAGCACGTGCTCTGAGAACAAAAGCAACACTTAACTGCAATCTGTGTAGTCTAGAACGACTATTGCTCTTCCTCCCCTATCATCCGCGGAAGGCTTGGCAGAACAGATGGAGTCTGCATTTAAGCTGAGTGGCTTTGTTAGACCAAAGGCGATCAAATTCCAGAGCCTCACGCTTTCCCGCACAGGTCCCTGGTCACCGGCTCGGGAACCTGAGGCTGCTGGCAAGAACGCACACAGCGAGGGAAGGGACACGCCCGCGACCTGTGGGCTGAGTGGATTAGTAATTACGATGATGTCACAGTATGGGTGACACGCCGGTCTCGGTGTAGGGCGCCGGGGGCAGGGGGCCCCGCAAGGGCGTGGAGTGGCATTGTGTTGTCACAGGGGCTCGGGCGTCTTAGGTACCCATGTGGGTGGGGCACTAGAAGGGGCACTGCTCTGAGTGCTGCCCTTGGGGCGAGGCGGGCACGTGGCTCTTACAAGGTGGGGTCCAGGCGGCCAAGGTCTGGAAAGGTAGGGAAGGACCCCACCACCACGCCTGCTCCGCCCTGCCCTTGTTCTCGAGAAGGGGGAGCTGGTTCGGACCTAGTCCGGGGTCCACTGCCACTCCCTCTTCCACGGCGAGACCACCCCCGCAGCCCCAGGCCCACACCTGGGGATGCTCCCCAGGCGTCACGCAACCCCCCGCATTGTCCTCCTGCCCTGCCGGCCAGGACTACACTTCCCGGGGTGCTTCGGGGTCCCAGGGGGCGGGGCTCCACGCGGGTTGTTGGGGGCGGGGGCGGCACGTGCCGCCGCTCTCGGCCAATGCGGAGCCCCGCGGGGAGGTCACGTGCCGCTGTTTGGCGCTTTTGTGCGCGCCCGGGTCTGTTGGTTCTCAGAGTGTGGTCAGGCGGCTCGGACCGAGCAGGTGGGTGCGGGGCTCGGAGGAGGCGGCGGCTGGCTGCGGCCAGCAAGAGGGATCCGGTCGGCGGGAGGGGCTGGGCCGTGGCAGCGACCCCCTGCTGCAGGGCGGCGGGCGGGGCTGCGGGGCCCGGAGGGGCTGGTGGGCGGGGGTCGCTCCGCTTTGTGTGTGGCTCGGGCGGAGCCTCGCCTTTGTCCCCGCTGTCTGGGGGCGCGGCTGTTCGTGGGCAGGGGGCTGGGCGAGCACCCGGAGTCCGCTCCGGGGTGCCGTCGACGAGACAATAGGGGGCGTGGGCCCTCATTTACCTCACTCCCTCTCTTCCCTGCGGGCCCCGCCGGGGTCCCCATTGTCTGAAGGGACGGGGCGGCGCCCCCCGGGACCAGCGGCCTTAGGGCCAAACTGCGGGCAGCCAGGGACGCGACCCTCCCCGCGACCGTCCCCTGGCGACCGCAGCTGGTGACTGAGAGGCGGCGCTCCCGGTCCCCGCGAGGGTTCTTCTGTCTTCGCGGCCGGACAGGCGGACAGCTTGGATGGCGGCAGGCTGGGCATAGGGACGGCGGGAGGCGGTGACGAGCCCACCGCGGGGCCACCCGGGGGCCTGTTCCCAGGGCCTGCCCCACCCGGTGAACTGTGACGGGGGTGGTGGCGGCGGCCTGGAGGTGTTTTTGGCGGGAGTTGGGGGGGGCGTCCGCGCGGGGGGAGTCAGGCAGGGGCGGAGTTACCCGGATTGGACCGTTAGCCCCGCCCACCCCTCCCCTTCCCACGCGCGCGGGCTCTGGGGTGTTGAGAGTTCGGGGAGATTCGAAAAGGCGCGGGGAGGAAGGGGGCGGGGCTAGGGGCCGTAGCGCAGGGCGTGCTCTGATTGGCCGGAGGCGACCGGTCCTCTTCTCATCTGGACCAGGAGCACGCCCATCCTGGGTCCGGTGCTGCGTCTAATTTTCTGCTTTGCCTAAATCTTGTCGCTGCCTCTGGTTTAAATTTCTAGCTTTTGGCAACCTGTCATCCAACGTTTTTGGTACTAGCTGGGGTCTACAAAAATCATAATCTTAAAAAGATCAAGAGATACAGCATTTTTCATGACATAACGGCAGCAAATATTATAAGTAAAAATCTAGAGGTTCATAAACATTTTGTTTGCTGTTGGGCAAGGGAGCTTAAACCTGAGGGACAATAGGAGTTCAACATTATTGGTTACTATTAGCTTGGGCGTTTTTTTATCCACCACGTCAGACACAGACAAAGCAGGGGTGGGTATTTCATTTACACAATGAGTTGTAGGCAGTATTAAGATGGCTCCGGGGGCACTGTTGAGTTGAATCTGGAATATCTTCTTACAGTTTCGGGAAAATGTTAGAGTCTATGGGGGAGAAAGATCCTTCACCCTTGTGACTTCGTCTGATTTTAAAAATCCGAGTTTTATGAACGAGCAAACTCAGTTAACTTGATTTTCTGCAACCAATGTCATATTCAGGTCATATTTCCCAATATGTTCATTTAGATTTTGATAATTTTTTTCGTGGTTAATGACGTTCTTTACGTAGGGATTTTTCTGACGATGTATGTAGATGTAGTGTGAGATCTCTTTTGGTTGATGACATATAGAAAGGCAAAGAAAGTGATTGCATGTTTTTGAAAATCATTTTCAGGGCTTTCCTTACCCCAGTTGATTGTGCAGAATACACTGCCTGTCGCTTGTCTTCTATTCACCATGGCTTCTTCTGGTAGGTAATCTATTTGGAAAAGCTGAAATTGTGATGGGCTTATGATTTTAGATTGAGATGGCTTAGGTCTTCACCTTTGATTTGGCACTTATGGTCTTATCCAAAACCTATTTTATGAATAGGAGAATTAAAAAATGATTATCACTTGAATGTGCCAAGAGCTCATAATTGTTAGACAGTTTGGCTTAGTCTGAAGCAAAATTGTGGAGTTTGCACAAGTCTTTTGTTTATGAAAGCAATTGTCAGACACTGATGTCTCAAAACAGTATTTATTAATCCAAAAATGTTGAGCTTTGTTTTTCTGGGAGATGGTTTTTATTTATTTATTTTTTTTGAGACAGGGTCTCACTCTGTTGCCCAGGCTGGAGTGCAGTGGCTTAATTATAGCTCACTGCAGCCTTGACCTCTGGAGCTCAAGTGGGCTCAAGCGATTCTCCCACCTTAGCCTCCATAGCATCTGGGACTATCGGCATGGGCTACCACACCCACCTAATTAAAAAAAATTTTTTGTGTAGAGATGGGCTTTCCCTTTGTTGCCAAGGCTGGTCTCAAACTTCAGGGCTCAAGGGATCTTCCTATGTTGGCCTCTCAAAGTGCTGGGATTATAGGCATTAGCCATGGTACCTGGCCTTGGGAAATGGTATTTAGATAATGTCTTGCTGCAAACACATCTTCCCCTAGTGTCAGTAGGCTGATAGGAATAAAAAGGGGAAAAAACCACAACTTTCCTCATCAGCCCTAATTTAATACATTAAATTGATTTGGGTTTTAGAAAATTATAGTACTGTTTATTAGAATAGGAGAATCCTGGTTTTCTGAATTATAAATATAATCAATTCTAGATATCCAGGTGAAAGAACTGGAGAAGCGTGCCTCAGGCCAGGCTTTTGAGCTGATTCTCAGCCCTCGGTCAAAAGAATCTGTTCCAGAATTCCCCCTTTCCCCTCCAAAGAAGAAGGATCTTTCTCTGGAGGAAATTCAGAAGAAATTAGAAGCTGCAGAAGAAAGACGCAAGGTAAACGAAGCAATTCACAGAAAGCAGGATATTAATTTATGTAATGGGCAGATCAGTTTTATTTCTATTAACAAGAAGAAAACAGAATTGTAGCTACACTGTGATTATTACATATGCCAGTGATTGGAAGGAAATACTAGTCCTCACTTATTGAACTCCTGTTATGTGCCAGCTCCTTTGTTTATATTTTTCTCCTTTAATACATAGTGTTGCCTCAAATAATGGAAATTAGAAACGGTTTCAGGAATGTTAAGTCGTTTTTCTGCAGTCATACAACTAGTAAGTGTTAGGGTCAGAATTCAAGCCCTGGTCTGTCTTAAATCGAAGCTTATGCTTCCTCTTTGAAAAGATATGTTGCCATATGATTCTTTGGCACTTTGGTTTTGTTTTTTGAGAGCTGTACAATAAAAACATTTTAAATTGGTAGTGTGATTGTGTTGCTCAGCTGGTATCACGGTAGCTTTTCTTATCTAAGCAATTCTATTATAAAGTAACTATCATTAAAAGCTAATTTGAAGAATCAATAAATACGCTAGTTGTAGAAAATTTGGAAAATACAGAAATTTATAAATGGAAATTAAAAGTATTCATTATCCCACTTCCCAGAAGCAACCAGTGTTAACATTTTGGTGTGTTTCTTTCCATTTGGTGTTACTCATTAACAACTGTACATAACTTTTCTTTTTTTTTTTTTTTTTTTGAGACGGAGTCTCGCTCTGTCGCCCAGGCTGGAGTGCAGTGGCCGGATCTCAGCTCACTGCAAGCTCCGCCTCCCGGGTTCACGCCATTCTCCGGCCTCAGCCTCCCGAGTAGCTGGGACTACAGGCGCCCGCCACCTCGCCCGGCTAGTTTTTTTTGTATTTCTTAATAGAGACGGGGTTTCATCGTGTTAGCCAGGATAGTCTCGATCTCCTGACCTCGTGATCCGCCCGTCTCGGCCTCCCAAAGTGCTGGGATTACAGGCTTGAGCCACCGCGCCCGGCCATAACTTTTCATTTAACTCCCTTTCCCAACCCCGATTGGATTGATTTTAAAGTTGGGGCAAGTAAGGCACAAAAGGTAAGGGTAATAACCTTCCCCAGACCAGCATAGTGTGATTTGTAGGACACATACACACCCGCCCAAAGAGCCACAGTGCTTACACTAAGAGTCATCTTCTATGCTTCTATGTAATAGTGTGAGTTCATGGAGTAGGAGGAAGCAATACAACCAAAGGTTGGACAGTGGAAAGTTTTTTAGACATCAACCCTGGCCCTGTAGTCATTAGCCTGTGCTTTACATAGTAACTGGCTAAATATAGTGAAACTCCCATCATGACTAGGATTTGGCAGAAGAGAATCAATAGAACCAGTGGCAGATGCTCTGTGGTTATCCTGCAAGTCAGTGGTTCCAAACACATCTGAATGTGTTTTGAGAACAAGCTGTTCTGCTGAAGGGGTCATACCAAGGTATGGTCTGGTAATTAATGCAGTTTCCTGAGACAAAAGCTAAGAAGACTTTTCCTTGAAACAAATTTTTCTGTCTTAAATAGTAATCTGCAGGCTTAGTCTTACATTTCCTATCATTGTTTTATCCAGTTATGGTTAAAATTTTTACAATGAGCTAGTTTTCTTTGGGTAGCTTTTGAAGTTAAATAGTGAAATTCTTTACAATAAAAGTGCCACTCCCAAGTACATATTCCTTAAGTCATCCAGATACCATTAAGCAGTAAATCTTACAAGGATTTCCTTAAGGACTAATTGGGTAAGAGATTTCTGAACAGATAAGCAGTTTTCCAAAGTTAAATACAAATACTAGAAAAAATATCATTTTTACAGTATGATAGGGATAATTCAGGTCCTAACTTCGGTATTATTTAAACCGGACCTTATTTTCTGCCCCTTTTCAGTCCCCTTAGTAATTGATTTTTATTGTAATTTTAACTAATGCTGAATACATTTTATTTTTTGAGGCAGAGTCTGTCACCCAGGGTGGAGTGCAGTGGCGTGATCTCGGCTCACTGCAACCTCCACCTCCTGGGTTCAAGCAATTCTCCTGCCTTAGCCTCCCAAGTAGCTTGGATACTACAGGTGCCCGCCACCACGCCTGGCTAATTTTTGTATTTTTAGTATAGGTAGGGTTTCACCATGTTGGCCAAGCTGGTCTTGAACTCCTGACCTCAAATGATCCACCCACCTTGGCCTCCCAAAGTGCTGGGATTACAGGCGTGAGCCACCACCCTCAGCCTGAATACATTTCAAAGTGCCTAGCCTATTAAACTTTTTTTTTCCAGTCGCATGAAGCTGAGGTCTTAAAGCAGCTGGCTGAGAAACGAGAGCACGAGAAAGAAGTGCTTCAGAAGGCAATAGAAGAGAACAACAACTTCAGTAAAATGGCAGAAGAGAAACTGACCCACAAAATGGAAGCTAACAAAGAGAACCGAGAGGCACAAATGGCTGCCAAACTGGAGCGTTTGCGAGAGAAGGTTGGTTTCTTACCTTGTAAAAGGGTTGAGCCTGGAGTTTGATGCACCAATTAGTTGGCTTGAACTAAGTGCTTTGATAAAAGGTATTTGGTGTCTTTTTGTCATCCATTTGGGGCTTAACATGTTAAATGAAAGGTATATTTTAAGATGGAATATTCAGTAATTCCCAGCATAATTGCACAGTCTTTCGAAGACCAGTATGCGGCTTGTTAGGTTCTACAAGGGACCCAGGAGATTCGATGATGTCTCAGAACTCAAATTTTGTGGTTCCTACAGGCTGTAATATATGCACCGAGGTTGTGTTGGGCCTCTTTGAGGTGGGGGCTGGGGGTCGTGACTTGACAGGCTTTTTTTTTTTTTTTTTTTTTGACTGATGACACCTTACCCTTCCTTTGCAGGATAAGCACATTGAAGAAGTGCGGAAGAACAAAGAATCCAAAGACCCTGCTGACGAGACTGAAGCTGACTAATTTGCTCTGACAACTGACTTTCTCCCCATCCCCTTCCTAAATATCCAAAGACTGTACTGGCCAGTGTCATTTTATTTTTTCCCTCCTGACAAATATTTTAGAAGCTAATGTAGGACTGTATAGGTAGATTCAGACTGTAAGATGTTGTTTTAGGGGCTAAAGGGGAGAAACTAAAAGTGTTTTACTCTTTTTCTAAAGTGTTGGTCTTTCTAATGTAGCTATTTTTCTTGTTGCATCTTTTCTACTTCAGTACACTTGGTGTACTGGGTTAATGGCTAGTACTGTATTGGCTCTGTGAAAACATATTTGTGAAAAGAGTATGTAGTGGCTTCTTTTGAACTGTTAGATGCTGAATATCTGTTCACTTTTCAATCCCAATTCTGTCCCAATCTTACCAGATGCTACTGGACTTGAATGGTTAATAAAACTGCACAGTGCTGTTGGTGGCAGTGACTTCTTTCGAGTTAGGTTAATAAATCAAGCCATAGAGACCCTCCTGGTTGATACTTGTTCCAGATGGGGCCTTGGGGCTGGTAGAAATACCAAGGCACAAATGACCGCACGTTCTCTGCCCTCAGTTTCTTGCCCCAGTGTGGTTTGCATTGTCTACCTCCACAATGGCCGCTTTGTTTGGATGCCTCAGCCCAGGTCAGCTGTTACTATATTCTTTCAGATGTTTATTTGCAAACAAGCATTTTTTGTTCTGTGTCCCTTTTAAAAGGCAGATTAAAGGCACAAGCGTGTTACTAGAGAACAGTTTAGAGAGAATCTCAAGGTCCTACTTGGTGGTTTGCTTGCTCTACATTACAGGTGGGGCATGTCCTCATCCTTTCCTGCCATAAAAACGACGCGAGAATCAGAATATTAATAAAACTTTATGTGCTGCTGTAGCAACTCCTGTGAAATGACTAAAGGGAACCTTAATTATTTCTAGAGTAGCATTTGACAGATACGTCATCTTGTATCCAGAGGCTGTAATAGTCCCCATTGTCAGTGCATTGCCTCTCAATTCAGGGAACGCCTTTGGCAGCTTTCCTGTGCTATTTGGGAAATAGCCTAATTATATATATTTTGTGGCTCTTAGACATCTGTATAAAAGCTCTTGGAAGCCAAGCACTTACAGCAAAAGATGATTGCTAATACTGCAGTGGGGTCCACGTGTTGCTAACGCACGTGCCTCTGTGGCTTGGGCTGTATCTTGAGATTGGGGTTTTACCACACTTATTTATGAGAACAGCAGCCTACCTCAACTTACCTAAGATTGTTAGGATTAAATGGGTTTGTGGCAAGAGAGCACACTTAGAATATAGGTATTTAGCATTCCATATAAATCACGATTACTGTTTTCAACCAGAGGCTAGTGTGTGATCTAAGTTTATACTCTTGAGTTGGAAATTATTATGCAGTTTTTGTATTCCTTGAATTGACTTTTAAATTTACTTAAATGATCAATCAGAGGAGTTCTGAACAAAGCTTGGTTTTAAGAGTTATGCCCATGTAGGGCAAATAGGAACAAGTGCAAGTGTAGTTGAATACAACAATAGGTTCCAAGCAATATCTAAAGCAAGAGGACAGGATGAGGCTTGTGTGCAGTGGTGCAGCACAGTTCATCTTGGCTCCTGTCTCTGGCACATAGTAGGTGCCCTGGGATCTTTAAAATGCCAGTTCTGAGTAGATGGGAATACAAAGAGGGCCTGAGGGTAGAAACTTGGCATAATGATACAAGGTGTCCTACAAGTGGCAGTAAGCTTTTGTTCATCTAGGACATTTAGGGAGGGAAACTGGCCTCAGGAGAAAGCAAGGGAAGGATCAACATAGATTTGAAAGGATGCCCCGTCAGTTGCCACCAATCCCACGGTGGCCCTGACTTCTATCCGAGGGTGATGCTGAGCCCCTGCCTTGTGACAGGCTTAAGTCACAGGAAACTGAAGGGGATGTATCTTACCACAGAAATAGAAGCTCTGGCTTTTCTATTTCACCTTGACCTTTGGAGAAGCACTTAGTCCTGGACCCCCATTTTCTCCTGGATAAAATGAGACAGTTGGGGGATATCAGTTAAGTAACTGTTACTCCCACATTCTTTGTATCTGGCTTGGAGTGAAGCGAAGGAGCGGTGGCACCTACGAGCTTCTGGGAAGTGTCTCTTGGCATGCTTTCCCGGGCCCAGCGTTCTCTGTGCCATCATGGGAGTCTGCGTCTGTCCCAGTGGGGCCAGCCTCTCCCAGCAGCACTTCCAATAGGTTAGCGTAATAAGGCCAGAGTGGTTTGACAAGCAGTCGAGGCTGTCACCAAGGTGCACACTCCATTCCTTTTGTCTTGAATGGAAGATGAGGCTTGTCGCTTCCTGAGGATTTTGTACTTGAGCCTTATGATTGACTGGGCTCAGTGGAGAGAGGTTTGAAGGACGTGAAGGAGGCCCTTAAGTTAACATTTGACAAGCACCTAGATTGTGCTCCACTCTGGCCTGTGTGCTAGGGATGGAGAAAAAATGGGATGGGGCCAGCACATCATGTGTCCATGTGAGGGGAAGGAGAGCTGTAGAACGCTTCCTTACCTGAGGGTGAGGCTCTCGACCACATACTTGTACTCACCAGGGTGCTCTAGTGCTTTGATAAAAGGAGTGATCACAGAGGGCTTTGTGGTCTGGGAAGCTTTGAGAGGAGAAAGCACTTGAGCTTGTCCTTTGGGAAGTCAGATGAACCTTCCAAGCCAAACCCCAATAAAGCACTTAATTGTTAAACACTTAGTAAGCCTGTGATTACAGCATGCACAGAGAACCTGCCATAGTTAATGGCCTGTAGTAGGCCCCCCAGGCAGGCCCCCTCCCCATTTCTTTATTCTAAGCAGTGGAGGCTCTTTGAAGGCTTTTGAACATGGGGACTGCAGTGGTTAGTAACAAAGCCATTTTAAGGAAGAGAAAGTGGAGGCAGGGTGAGTTGACTGGAGAATGGCTGCCATACAGGCTACAGTGGTCATCGTGGCTGTTGGGGCAGCACAGGGATGAGGTGGGAGGGCCTGCTGGGCTCTGAAGCAATGCATGTGACTGACTGCACTGAAGAACTGGGACATGTGCTCTAAACTTGGGAAGCTGGAAGAGAAACAAACCACTCCACTTGGGAAAATGGCAGTGCCACTATTTACTGAGCACTTGACGTCCAGGCATCGTGTTCATTGTCTCCACCATACAGAGAAGTGAACAGGCAATGTAACGTACCCAAGGTCCTAAGCTAATAGGAGCAGCTTACCCAGGCAGTCCTGCTCTAGGCCCCGCACAGGGAGGGGGGCTGCCCTGACAGCTCAGCGTCCCCTCATCGGCTGGAACAATTCCCCTCTGCCTCAGACCTGTTCACAAGATTCAGTGAGCAAATGAAAGTCCTATATTCAGCTGGTCCCACCTCCTTAAAAAGGCAGGGCCTCTTGTTATCCTTGCATGCCTTGGAGTGAGGTCTCATCCCCTGCCCCCAGCACTTTTATAAAGGTGCTCCTGTCTACTCTGTATCACTCTCCCAGTGGAGAATTCTGATTTTCAGCGATGTTTTAGCTCTCCCAGTAAAACTGGGCACCCAGATGAGTTTGGCTACCTTACCGTGAATTCGTTTGTTTGAATCACTGTTAAATGTGGTTCATTTAGGAATACAGAAGATGAAGACCAAGTTTCTTTTTTTTTTTTTTTCCCCTGAGACAGAATCTTGCTCTGTTGCCCAGGCTGGAGTGCAGTGGCACGATCTTGGCTCACTGCAACCTGCCTCCTCCCAGGCAATTCTCCTGCCTCAGCCTCCCAAGTAGCTGGGATTACAGGCATGCGCCACCATGCCAGGCTAATTTTTGTATTCTTAGTAGAGACCATGTTGGCCAGGCTGGTCTTGCACTCTTGACCTCGTCATCTGCCTGCCTCGGCCTCCCAAAGTGCTGAGATTATAGGCATGAGCCACCGCACCCAGCAAGGCCAAGTTTCTTATAGAAAAGCTTCCCCCTTTGGGTGAAAGTTGGACTAGATGCCCTAGAAGCTCCCTTCCAAATCCAAGACTGTGATTCTCTACAGGGTTGGATTGCAGACCACCTGAGATCAGAGACCATGTCATAAACACAGAGCCGAACTCCAAGTCCCCAGACACATTGTTGGTCAGTCAAGTCTCTTGATACTTGCCTCTTCCCTTTTTGCCCAGGTGAAAGAAAGGTCCAAAGTGTCCCTGTGGCTGCGGCCTCTGCCAGCAGAAGCTGGTATTCTGTACTTAAGGGCATAGGAAAGGGATTCTGACTTGTTTCTTACATGCACTTAGATTTTTAAAACTTAGTTGTAGGGTTTGATGAGCTCCAAAATGCAGCAGCTTCGTGGAGGGGCTCTGGTTCATAGCTGGAAAGGCCTGGCCTTCTTCCATCATGGCCAAGAGCAGAGCAGTACCTTCCCAGTCCTTGGACACCAAATCCTACTGAGACAAGTAGGCTGCTGAAATTGGATCCACAGGAAGAAGAAACAGACAGGAAATGAGCCAGCTGCCTCATTGCAGCCATCTCAGCAGAAGAGGACTGAGCCTCTGCTGGGCCTGGAGCTTCCAACCCCTGTGACTTCTTGCTGCCCTCACTGGCAAAAAGCCCTAGTATTCACTGGAATGGGGAGGTCCCCATGCTAAGCCTAGGCTCCCCTCTTCCCTGCTCTGACAGCTCTCTACTTAATAGCAGCAACTAATAATTATTTGCATTGTCTCAGTGAATCCCCAGAACAACCTTAGGAGGTTATCATGGCCATTCCACAGGCAAGAAGTAAGGCAACTGGACCTAGATTAGAGGGTTTGCCTAAATTCACAACTAGCAAGCAGTGGACTCAGGACTCAAACCCAGACTATTAACCCCCATGCTGTACGGCAGCTCCTCATGTATCGCAAGTGTTACTCATTAATTCAAGTGTCTCCCCAGCTAGAACATAGGGTCCCTGAGAGCAGGGGTTCCGCCTGTCACATTACTGGATCTCCTGGCTCGTGGTGGGAGGTTAATGTGCTGGATTAAATAATGATGAGTGGGTGGGTGACTCCCACAGTCTACTTTGGGGCACTGGCTTTGTCCTCATCTTTTGCAGACCCCATGTGGAGTCAACCCTGTTTTCTAGAAGCAAATGATGGGTCTTCACCTTCTTTGCAGATGGCTCTGAGGTGCACAATCCTTAATGGAATCCTCCTGGATCCGAACACACAAACTGGTGGCCTGCAGCCAATGTTGAACCATAGGCATGTTGCATTCAGCGCATGCTGTGTTTTAAATTGAATTAGCTGACAATTCCATGTGAAAATCTGATTTCAAGCTTATCTTGAAAAAAGCCGACAGATCTGGCAACCCTGGGCTCGCAGTCCCTCCCAGCTGCCGTTAGCGGACTCTGGGCAGTTGCTGCCCCCTCGAGGTAGGACTTGTGTTCTGCAGCTCTCCATCCCACTTGGGCCCACCCATTTCTGTCTTTTGCTGGATGGGCCCTGTGCCTGCTGGAGGCCCAGGGTTTGTAGTCCCTGACACAGAACAGCAACTCCATCACTCCAAGTCAGCCAAACTTTTTTTTAGATCAAAAGTCCAATCAGTACAAAAGGATGTATAATAGCCTGTAATCCCAGCACTTTGGGAGGCCAAGGCGGGCGGATCATGAGGTCAGGAGATCGAGACCATCCTGGCTAACACGGTGAAACTTCATCTCTACTAAGAATACAAAAACAAAATTAGCCGGGCGTGGGGCAGGTGCCTGTAGTCCCAGCTACTCGGGAGGCTGAGGCAGGAGAATGGTGTGAACCCGGGAGGCGGAGATTTCAGTGAGCATAGATCACGCCACCGCACTCCAGCCTGGGCAACAGAGCGATACTGCATCTCAAAAAAAAAAAAAAAGATGTATAATAAAAGTGAATCTCCCTCCTTCCCAGGTCACCTAGCTGTCTCCCGTGTCAGAGATGTGCTGCACCTCTAAGCCCAGTCACCAAACACTTGCTGGCACCTCTATGGGCCAGACATCAGCTGGGTATCGGGATCCCATGGTACTTTTTCAAAATGTGAGACTCAGGACCCTCATCAGACCTTTGGAGGCAGAATTTCTAAAATTGGAGCCAACCTGTGGCTGCGTGTGTTGGCTCACACCTGTAATCCCAGCACTTTGGGAGGCCAAGGTGGGAGGATCACTTGAGCCCAGGAGTTGGAGACCAGCCTTATTAGGAGATATAGCGAGACTGTCTCTAAATAATTTAAAAGTAAATAAAAAAATAAAATTGGAGCCCCAGTGTCTAGAATTTTTTTTCAGACAGGGTCTCTGTCACCCAGGCCGGAGTACAGTGGTGCAAACTCAGCTCACTGCAGCCTCAGCCTCCTTGGCTCAAGCAATCCTCCAACCTCAGTTTCCAGAGTAGCTTTGACTATAGGTGTGTGCCACCATGGCTGGCTAATATTTGTAATTTTTGTAGAGATGAGATTTCACCATGTTGCCCAGGCTGGTCTCCAACTCCTGAGCTCAAGCAATCCACCAGCCTCAACCTTCCAGACTGCTGGGATTACAGGCATGAGCCACCGTGTCTGGCCTAGATTTTTTTTTTTTTTTTTTTTTTTTTAAGCCAGCAACGTTTCTGTTGTTCACCTAGGCAGAGACCTCTCCACTCAGGATGCAACATCTCAACACCATTGCCATCTCTCCAGTACCAGACAGCCTGGTGGAGATGAGCCTGCAGCTGCACTCGTCACAGCCCCTGCTCATAGTGTGCAGACCGTACCCTGCACAGGGGATCCCGCCGAGGAGATGTGGGGCCTGAAATCCAGTCATACGCCACAACCAAGGCACATATTACATTCCCTCATCTTCCCAGGAGCAGGCACCACTTCCTAATTTACCATGTCACCTAATCAATACAAATACAGGGAGACCTGTGCTCTGCTGTGGGACACAGATAGGGGCTCCTCAGGATGTAGGCCCAGGGTGACTTCCTGTAGGAGATAATGCTTGGGCCAAGTTTGATTTAGGGAGTAGAAGCAAAGAAGGCGCCTCTCTATTTACCTCCCAAACCCAGGCTACCCCACCCCACGCCCTACCCCATGACTCCCTGTGGTTATCAAGGGCACCACCATTCTCCTGGCCACTGACAGGGACACTTTAATAACAGTACACATTGGCCAGGCACGGTGGCTCACACCTGTCATCCCAGCACTTTGGGAGGCTGAGGTGGGTGGATCACCTGAGGTCAGGAGTTTGAGACCAGCCTGGTCAACACGGTGAAACCCCATCTCAGCTAAAAATACAAAAATTAGCCAGGCGTGGTGGTGGGTGCCTGTAATCCCAGCTACCTGGGAGGCTGAGGCAGGAGAATTGCTTGAATCTGGGAGGCGGAGGTTGCAGTGAGCCAAGTTCACACCATTGCCCTCCAGCCTGGGCAACAAGAATGAGACTGTGTCTCAAAAAAAATAAATAAAAACCAGTGCACATCAAGAAGTCCCTAGGGGACAGCTGGGGCATAAGGAGGTGTCAGCCATACATCAGACCAGTGTACCTGCCCTGGGCTGCTTGGGGTTGACCAGCTTGGTGTCCAGAAATGCCTGCTGGAGGGAGTCACGGTACAGGAACCTTGTGCTCTTGGAAGATCTCCTGAGAGGCCCTGCAAAGCCAGAGTCCCTCTTAGCAAGTCGGATCCGAGCTATCAAAGTGTGGCTCGGGGATTGCTGCCAGCACACAAATTTTTACTGGTCTGCAGCGAGATAAGTACAGAAATTGAAAGTAAGCATTTAGAAACTTTTATGACAATTTTACAAGGTCTTGTCGAATGCTATTAAAATGAAGCTGAGGCTAGAATTTCACCTTTTTCATTTTTTTTCTATTTAAACAAATTATTGTAGTAAAATATAGATAACATAAATGTACCATTTTAGCCATTTTTGAGCATACAATTTAGAAGTGCTTTCACAATATTGTGTAACTACTAGTATTACATAGTATATATTTTTAAAATTTTACAAAAGCATAAGTTAGCAGCAGATTAAACTTTTTTTCTTAAATTGAGCTTGAGAAGCTCTGGTCTAAATGGTAACCCATGGGGAAGCCTTGACGGTTTGGAGGCTCCTAATTGAGTCCATTGCTTGGCTTTTTTCCCCAAATCACGGAGTGGAGTTAGGTCCCAGAGAATGGCGTGGGCTGAGGCCCAGGCTCCCTCCCGGGCTAGAAAACTGGGCAGACGGGCATCACCCGTGAAGGGAGGCCAGCCAGGCACTGCACAGCCTGGGGCAGTGCTGTCCTGTGTGCCTGGGCCAGGAAGGCTGGGTGAGAGACCCGGGGGCGTTTGGTTTAGAGGCCCAGCAGGCCTTCCTTCTAACTCAGTGTAGGGAGGCGATTGTTTAGAATCACAAAAATCTCAGCTTTAGCTGGGAGAACCCTCAGCGGCTCAGCCGTGGTGGCATCTACCCTCCTTGTTTAAAGAAGGAATCTGAGGTAAGAGAGAAAGGACTGGTTTGAGGTTGCAACCAGTTAGTGATGTAGTGATGGTCTCAAATACAGGCCTTTTAGTTCCTAGGCAGAAGCAGGGCAGAGATTTTTTTTTTTTTTTTTTTAAAGACAGAGTCTTGGCCGGGCGCGGTGGCTCACGCCTGTAATCCCAGCACTTTGGGAGGCCGAGGCGGGCGGATCACAAGGTCAGGAGATCGAGACCATGGTGAAACCCCGTCTCTACTAAAAAATAGAAAAAAATTAGCCGGGCGCAGTGGCGAGCGCCTGTAGTCCCAGCTACTCGGGAGGCTGAGGTAGGAGAATGGCGTGAACCCGGGAGGCGGAGCTTGCAGTGAGCCGAGATTGCGCCACTGCACTCCAGCTTGGGCGACAGAGCGACACTCCGTCTCAAAAAAAAAAACAAACAAAAAAACAAAAAAAAAAACAAATAAAAGACAGAGTCTCTCTCTGTCTCCCAGGCTGGAATGCAGTGGCACAATCCCGGCTCACTGCAGCCTCCACCTCCTGGGGTTTAAGCTATTCTCCTGCCTCAGCCTCCTGAGTAGCTGGGATTGCAGGCGCCCCACCACCATGCCCAGCTAATTTTTGGGCCCCCCCCGAATGAATCCTTAAAACAATCTTGGGAAGTAAATACTATTCTTTTTTATCCCATTTTATAGATGAGGAAACTGAGGTTCAGAGAGGGTTAGGTCACTTATCCACTGCTAATCAGAGGCAGAGCCAGCAGGCTGCTTGCTCTCTCAATGCCATTTTCCAGATGGCGCGGTCCCATTCTGGCCTGAATTCAGGGGGCTCAATATGGCAGTGCCTGTGCTCACCTCTTTCCAGTTTTTTCCAAATGGTCTGTGACTCGGCCCCGGATATGCTCACCTAGCAGGATCTCCTGGGCTGCCGGGTCCGTCCTGCAGACCCTGGCTGACTGACGATGAAATGAGTAGTCAGACACGTATGCAGTGTAACCGCAGCCTGGCTCTAGTGGCCAGAGAGCAGCCCCCAGAAGCTGGAGCTGCTTGCTTTTACTCCATGCAGGCACAATGCCGAAAACCTGGAGCCCACACAACCTGTAGGTAATTAACATTTATTCTTCCGCTTTAGGGGAACTTCATGGCAGATAATCAAAGGTCAGTTTCTGGTCAACATAAGTAAACAAGCCTGTTTAAGATAAATTCCCCCACACTCCCTTGTACCTACTCCTTGCCCTCTGCCTCAGAGTTATAGAACAGCTGCCTTCAGCTGTTCTCTCCTGGAGCTTTGCAGAGCCCTCTGATCTTTCAGAGGGCCTGCTTCTTTTCCCTATAGTTTCTCCCACCACTCTGACTGGTCTCCTACACTGAGCAATCAGGGAAGAGGGTTGGGATGTTGGTTCCAGTTTCTGACATACCTCATGTGTTGCATTCCCTACCCCAAGCTCCTTCCTCTCCCTTCTCTTTAGACCTCCAAGAGCTAGAAGTTTCCCTAAGAGACCACCCAAAACAAACCTCTCCATCCATGTATTCATTGAATACATCCTGGGGGAGGAGACAGACTATAAAAGAGATTCGGATGAGTGCTGTCAGGATGAAAAGGGTAATACAACAGACAATGACTGTGGGCAGGGGCAGTGCGTTCCTGGCAAAGGGAACTGCTAGTGCCAAGGCCTGAGGGCAGGAACTAGCAGGTATGAGGAAAGCGCCTAAGTGAGGCCCTCTTGGCTGGATGAGGTGGGCAAGGGGGACCCCATGCAAGGAGGTGCTCAGGGTCCAGCTGTGTAGCCTGGGGCCAGGGTGAGGGTTTGGTTATAGTCTGCATGATGCAAAGCTTCAAAGGGCTTTAAGGTGGGAGTGATGTGATCAGATTACTTGTGTAACGAATTCTTCAGCCACCAGGAGGAGAATGGATGGTAAGGAGAGCCGGAGTGCACAAGGGAGAGAGATGAGAGTGGCTTGGAAGGTCATGGTCAGATTCAGGATCCAGATCATGGTGAAGCTAACAGGAACTGTTGGACTGGATGTGGGCATGGAGTGAGGGCTGACTCTTGGACTTTTCACTTGGGGAGTTGAGTGAAGGGAGGTGCCATCTACTCATACGAAGAAGCCTGGAGAAGGAGTAGGTGTGGGAGGATGGGTAGAGGGGAACAATGGTTTCATTTGGCCATGATGGTAGACCTTGCTGGCTGCTCTCCCAGGACTGAGTCTCTCCTCCCTTATAACAGAAACCTAAAAGTGTTTTATTTTGTTGCTGTTGTTGTTTTTGAAATGAAAGGTCTCACATATTTATTACTGAACCCAGCCAACCAACGCATTCATAACAGATTCAGAAAGGAAAAATATATTCCCAGTAAAACATGCCTAATTCTCCAGATAATGGTGACGTTTTCAGCTTGATACGGTAATGTGATTGTGACCTTCAGACAGCATAAATGTGTGTGCCATCTCACGTGCAATTCCTTATAGACCCAGCTTGGTTCTTCTCCGATGTCTCCTTTTGGAGTTGTACCTGATTTTATTGCCAGTTTTCATCCTAATCCACTGGGGAATGGAACGATTTTGCTTTTGTTTCTTGGCCAGGAATCGCTTAATCCTGAAAGTCTTGTGAGAAGACATGGCAAGAAGCGGAGTCAAGCACACACCATGATGGCAGAGAAAGGAAGAGAGGGGCCATTGTTATTGTTGTTAAGTACTCACCTGTCTGGCTCCTTCTTGTACCTTCTGCCCTTTTCCCATCCTCCCTTTTTCTGGAACAGAGATGTGATACCTAGAAGTACAGCAGCCATCTTGTGATCATCAGGGTAAAAGTCACATAATGGCTGGGACAGGGAGACGGATAGATCCTGGGTCCTTGATAATATCATTGAGCTGACATACCAGTCTAGGCAAGTTGGTCATTTTACTTGTTTAAGCCACTGTTTTTGAGCCACCACATCAGGCCCTTTGTGGCTTTTCATTGCTTGCTGCTGAATGAAGTCATAGCTGATGGAGTCATGTTGAGTTCAAGATTTTTGGAGGAGGGACGTGGGTCTAGGGAAGGAGAAGGAAGTTACCCCTATACACTGAGCTAGCCAACCCAGAGTTCAGTCATTTATTCATTCAAGAAATATTTATTGAGGATCTACTATGCACCAGGAACTATCCCAGGTGCCAAGAATTTAGCAGCAAATAAAGCAAAGATCCCCGCCCTTGAGGAGTTTGCATTCTGCTGTAATCAAGAAGCCAGCCTGACTTCTGAGCAATTGCATTTCATTTAATCCCAAGGGTGGTGGGGTTTGAGGTATGAACAGGTGATGGTGGTCAGGCATGGCATGTCTATTCCCACAGCCCTCCTCACCCACTCGTGATGTTAGCAAATCAAAATGGTCAACATATTTCTCCAGTGTTTTCTAGGAGCCAGGCACTGTGCTGTGTTCTACCTCTGAGGGAGGTGTTCTGATTATCCCCATGTTCTAGGAAGGTTAAGAAAGCGGCTCTAGTCACACAGCTAACCAGCGGTTGTGCTAGATTTAAACCCAGGGCTTTCTGACTCCAGAAATGCACTGACCCCCTCCACCCCCGGGCAACCTCTTTAAAAACAAAAACAAAAACAAAAACAAGGGCCAGGCATAGTGGCTCACACCTGTAATCCCAGCACTTTGGGAGGCTGAGGTGGGTGGATCACAAGGTCAAGAGATCAAGACCAGCCTGGCCAACCTGGTGAAACGCCGTCTCTACTAAAAATACAAAAATTAGCCGGGCATGGTGTCATGCACCTGTAGTCCCAGCTACTTGGGAGGCTGAGGCAGGAGAATTGCTTGAACCTGGGAGGCGGAGGTTGCAGTGAGCCGAGATTGCACCACTGCACTCCAGCCTGGCGACAGAGCAAGACTCCGTCTCAAAAAAACAAAACAAAAAAACACATCTTTATTATCTAGAAATCTATATTTTCAAAACTCCCCACAAAAGATGCTGCTCTCTCATTTCCCCCATTTTCTTCCTTTTCTTCCATACCTCTACCATAAAGGACATTTTTATACTGTATTAAAACTTCACCCAGATGTCCAGACGGCTCTCCACCTATGTATTCCTCTTATTTGCAAGCTGCATGTTCATGTAGCCATCTAAGATGCCAGATAGCCCTTGTACTCCATTCCCCACTTCATTTCAGCATCACCGGCTTTCCTGTTAACCCACTGAGGAAAGCTTTGGGATTGAGGGGTAGACTTACCGTAACTATGGGCAAATGCTGCAGGCTCCTGGACAACCTCTTGGCCCCTTTTGCTGTACCCCTTTTTGTCATTGTTTAACAAACCATTTCCTGATTTCCCCTTTCTCCTTGCTTTGGAAAGGGACAATGTATCTTGTTCATTCCTGTGGTCCAGACACCTGAGTGAAGGCCTGACACCCTTCATTCCTCCATCCCACTTTTTAAGAAGCTTTCTCTATGCTGAGTGCTGGGAATATAGACAAGTCACAGAACAAGACACACAGCCCAGGAGGGAAACAGGTAATCAACAGGTGTCACAGTGTAATGGGTCTGGTAGGATAATCAGAGGGACCAACCTTCCTTGGTACAGGAAAGGGTATCCAAGTCAGACCAGGGTGGTGGGGACCAGTCAAGGAGAGCTGCCTGGAGGAGTTGACACCTGAGCTGAGTCCCAGATGAGAAGCAGGAGTTGAGCAGGTAAATAAAAACAGTGGGGCCAGGCACGGTGGCTCACGTCTATAATCTCAGCACTTTGGAAGGCCGAGGCAGGTGGATCATGAGGTCAAGAGATCGAAACCATTCTGGATAACATGGTGAAACCCCTCTCCTCAAAATACAAAACTATTAGCTGGGCATGGTGGTGCACGTCTGTAGTCCCAGCTACTCAGGAGGCTGAGGCAGGAGAATCTCTTGAACCTGGGAGACAAAGATTGCAGTGAGCTGAGATCGCACCACTGCATTCCAGCCTGGGCAACAGAGCGAGACTCCGTCCCTCACCAAAAAAAAAAAGAGCAGTGGGGGTGTTCCAGACAAAGGGATAAGCACATGGAGGGTGGAGAGAGGCGAGATGGCAGCACATGAGATGGAGGCACACTCATCTCCCACTAAGGAGTCCTGCCTGGGCATCCTAGAACCCTGGGGCCAGAAGGATCTTTAATCATCAACAAATCCAACGTCCTCCTTTTCCAAATGAGGCCCAGAGAGGGGAAGCCATTTTTCCAAGGTCACATAGAAAGCTAATGATGGAGAATAGACTCAAACTCACTGCACTGCCTGGGTTTTGGATTTTCTTTTTTTTTTTCTTCAATTCCCTCCCCCTGCCCTTCCCTCCCACGGTCCTCCAATTCATTTTTCTCACGTGCCTACTTTGCACCAGCCCAGTACCCTGAGCTCCCTGCCCTAGAACCTTAGGCTTCCGGAGCCTGGGTCATCACCACCTCCTCCTATCAAACCTCCTCCCCACACCCTGTTCCTGCCTGACAGGTCATCACCACCTCCTCCTATCAAACCTCCTCCCCACACCCTGTTCCTGCCTGACCTTTCCTACACATTAAAAAATCCAGATGCCTATGTTGCTTCCCATACCAACAAGATCAGAATGTCTGGGGGCGGGGGCCAGGTGTCAGTATTTTTAAAGATCCCTGGATGATTCCATTTGTAGCAAAGTTTGAGAACCACTGTTTTAGCCTTGATGAAGGGCCCCTCCACTTCCTGTCCCTTGGCCTCTGGGTTGCAGATGACCTGGTGATGTTTCTTTTTCTTCCAGATGGACTTCTGGACTCAGGGATCTGGGCCCCAGCACAGGTCTCTGCGGAGCAATCTTGTCTCCGCTCTGTTCCTGCCCGTTGTCCAGCCCTGGGCCTCCAATCTGCATTGATTACCTGGTCTGACCTATCTCACCATCACTAGGTACTTAATAAATATTTGCTGTTGATGATGGCAATGACCTTGAGACTGATGAACAGTCTGGCCAAGAGGATCCTTGATGTGGAAGATAGAAAAAGCCTTTGGGGTCAGGCAGACTTGGATTCTAATACCAGCCAGTTGTGCTTGCTGTGTCTGAGCCTCAGTTTCTCATCTGTGAAGAGGAGGTAGCAGGAATGAAAATGCCTGCCTTGCAGTTTGTTGTAAGGACAGACACAGCCAATGTAAGAGAGATTAGCAGCTCACAGACCAGTTGCTCTGGGAGCAGACCGCTCTTGCGCTGATGGTAGGGAACTATTTTTGTGCATGGCAAGTGGGACCTTAGGAAGGAAGGCAACTGTGAGGCTTCTGAGAAGGACCCTACACAAGGGAGTTTCCTCCCAGGACACGTGAATGGAGAGGGTGGCAGAAGCCTATGGGCAAGGGTCACAGGGATCAGCTACAGAGTGCCACCACCCTTCCTGGGGAATGCAGGGCAAGGTCCCTGGTGGGAGTTTTCCTGGGAAGCCAGAGAAGCACCCCATGAAGACAGAATCAACATTTGGGTACCTTCAGTACCCAGAGGCAGCAATGCCAACTACAACCACACTCCGCATAGATTCTCTGATCTCTTCCTCCTTCATGGCACCAGCCCTGGGGAACCAGCATGGTGGGGAAATAATGAAACTGGAATACAACCACTTATAGGCTTCACAACCTCCTCCTGTAGACACCAAATGGATTTTAGGATCACATTTTATTTCTCACCTGAGCAAGAAAAGCTACAGGAGCATCTCAAGCAGGGGGCAGGAGTCTCCAGAGGAGTTCAAGGGGCTCTGGCAAGAAAAATCAAGGGTCTGCGTTCAAGAACTGGCTCCCCTGGCAATTGTATTACGAAGCCCATGTGTGCTGGGTGCCGGTGAAATTGCTGTCAAATGCCTGTGCGGCCTTGGCAAGGCCCTTTATTTCTCTGGGTCTCCGTTTCTCTAGCTGTGAAATGACTGTTCTAAAAGAGCCCTGCTGGACTTTGGCAGTCTGTAAGAAGACCTGAGTTCTCCTCTCAGTTCCAAGCAGGAAAATTGAACGTATCCTGAGCCCAGAGCCTGCAACAAACTGGGCAGCCTCAGGAAGTCAGGCAGTGAAGTCCGAAAAATGATCTCTTCTGTATAGGGAGGAAATAAAAATTTCAAAATTTGTAGTTTGAAAATGTCAGTTGCTATGTTAGTTTTTATGTTACTATTTTTTCCATTTCCTGGTAATGACATGCTATGTTATCTTTATTTATTTATTTGTTAGAGATGGGGTCTCGCTTTGTCACCCAGGCTGCAATGTAGTGGCACTACTATAAGCTCACCACTGTATGAAATTCCTGGGCTCAAGTGAACCTCCCACCTCAGCCTCAGCAGCTGGGACTAAAGGCACATAATACCACGCCCAGCTAATATTTAAATGTTTTGTAGAGACTGTCTCATCTTGTTGCCCTGGCTGTTCTCCAACTCCTGGCTTAAGCAATCCTCTGACCTCAGCCTCCCATGTTCTTTTTTAAACAGCTTCTTTAGAGCACAACTTACATACCATAAAGTTCACCTCTTTTAAAGATGTGCATTGCACCAGGCACGGTGGCTCACGCCTGTAATCCCAGCACTTTGGGAGGCCGAGGAGGGCTAATCATAAGGTCAGGAGATCGAGACCATCTTGGCTAACATGGTGAAACTCCATCTCTACTAAAAATACAAAAAATTAGCTGGTGTGGTGGCACGTGCCTATAGTCCCAGCTACTTGGGAGGCTGAG